TTATGCATGAGTGTTGTGAACTTTCGGACTCGACTGAAAGAGATAGTTCCCTACTCTTCCCTGTTCCCAGGTTGTTGCAAGTGTAGTCAAAGATACAGTACTTTTTAATTCTCATGTGAAGCCTGCATTTGTTTGAATTGATTATGATGTTATGTTTCAATCAAAGTATCAAATAGCTGATTGATAGATTATTGTACATACACATGATTCATAAGAACAATAATTGTGATGGATATCATGTTCCTGGAGAATAGCCATATAACTCTAAAAATATATGAATAATATTTTTATTTGAAAAATGAGAGAATTCAATCCTAAGGTGTCTACACCGGGTTTTTTACCGGTAGATTGTACACGAGCGTGCTTTGATTCAACGGTAAAAATCCAATGTGGGCTGGTTGGTATGAATATCCTGAAACATCATATTACATCAACACATAGGACACAGCAAAAGGTTTGTTCCCTACACAATTGTGTACAAAGTATATAATAAACCCATCTCAAAGTCTTGAATACAACTTTGATCAGCAAATTACAATCTCAAAAAGCATGTCCAATTCCAGGCTCATCATCATAATCATAATTGTTGCTCTAGTCATCATCAATATAGATAGTTTCCTGCTTGAACAACCCTCCAAAAACCTTTCTCGTCTCGGTCGTCTTATTATCCTTTTGTTTCGAGACATTCTTTGGTTTGAAGCTCGGTTTTTTCACAACAGCCTTCACAGAGGGCAGCGAACGGGCCTTGGCCTGTCCCCTTACAGTGGCCACCCGCACTTTAGGCTCAGGCCCATTGGCTGTCTTCTGGACGGCCGATTTGATCTGCGAACTCAGATTCTCCCAAGACGAGGTCACGCCTTTGGCACGGGTCAAGAAGCTCTCGACTGAGGCTTCTGCGGCTGATTGTACTTTCTTCTGGGCCTCGGTTGCCAGGCTGGAAGCCTGAGATTCTTGCTCCTCGAGATTCTTGGCGATCTCGGCTTGTTCGGAGGCTTTGTTGGCTTCCTCCTCAGCTTTTGCTATCGCGAGGGCTTCGGCATACTCCTTTCGTCTACTGTCCTCTGGGATGGTACTGTTAAGAAGAATTACATCAGACTTAAAAACACAAGATCTTGTCTAAATTTTAAACCTTTTTTGGTCTCTGCAAATGGCCATATAAATATATAATGCTTAACCTGAGGACTTCTGCAATTTCCTTTGAGACTGCTGATGGATCAGTGAAGACCTCAACAACCTGGACTTGGACAGGTCAATAAAATAATAAATGTATAAATATTTTTTTTTTTTAACTAGTACTCGAGCAATCTAAAAGAAAGAAAGGCGAAAATACGAATAATACCTTATTTTCCGCAACGGCCGTGTTGGAGAAAACGTCGGCCACAAGCGAAGCTATCTGCGACTTTGTAACCTGCGAACTGAAATCTAAAATGAACAAAATCGACACGAAATCGAAAGACAGCTCTCTCGTTAACAAAATCGAACACATTACATTACATTACTTTGTAGTCGTTGGCAGCTGCCGAAGCAGGAGCACCTCCTTCAGCCGACACAACAACATTGTACGAGCCCTCGAGGGCAAAATCGTCCGTCAGCTTGGTCTTAAAGAGCGTGTAGCTTACATCGATCTTCACGAGCTCTTGTAAGAACTCCGCAACTGTCAGAGGCTGAGACCTCGCGAAGAGGTTGTTGAAGAACGACGAGATGCCGTCGAGGACATTGTAGGTGGACACGGGTCCCGAGGAGGAGTCGTAGATTACTGCCACGTGGCCGACCTTTGCCAGCTGTGCAGCTCGGACGACTTGAAGCGCGTCGGAAGCCGTGACTTCAGCCGTGGGCCCATTTTCCGACGGGCCGATTGTCACGACGACTTTGCTCGCATTGCCAATTGCCTTTGCGATCGATTCCGCGTCTTCGAAGTCGGAGCTAACCGCGTTGAGCCGTTTTGATTCTTCGCCGGAGATGATCTGTCGAGCCATGAAAAATCGATGTTCAAGAACTATATATATGGTGTAATAAACCCAAAACAAATAGCTCAATTTCACAACCTAAACCATTGCAAATTAGCAGCAGGAAAAGAGAACAAATAAATTAAAACTGTCGATCAAATTCAAGCAAAAAAACGCGAATTCTTGTGTGAGGCAGCCTAACCGTTTAGGTGCGGGTCGACCCGTCATATTCTTTGAACCAAAAATGCATACTGTTCATTCTATTTTTCAAGAAAAAGCAGTAGAACAATTCTAGTAATCAAAACCTTGTAGTCGGACGCCAAACGAGCAAGCTCCTGAGCAGCACCAAGGTCAGGGACTCCGGCCCGAACACTGAAACCCCGACGCAAAAGGGCTTGCGCAATGCGGATGCCAGCCTGTCCGGCCCCGCCCGCCACAAACACCGTACCTGGGTCCTTACGCCTCTGCCCGCCGAAACTCAGCCCGGAAGTTGGGTCAGCCGCCACCGCCGGGACTAGGGATTTGACATCCTGGGCCAACTTGCGCAGGTCAAAAAATCCGACGGCGGCGGGAGGATTCGAGTCCTGGTCGGCCTCCCCACTCTCGGCCCGTTTAGCGAACGGCCCGGCCCGCTTAGCTAAAATCACGGCTTGCCGCCGGTTCTTGAGGTGGGATCTCGGGCTGGGAGCCGGGGTGGTCGGGAGGAAGGAATTTGAGGTGAGAGCCGCCGCCATTGATGGGTTTGGAAGAAAGGGGAGAAAGCAAGCAAATATGTGCGTGCGTGTGAATGTGTGTGGGTGTGTGTATGTATATGTGTATCTATCTGCGGCTTGCTTGAATCGGATTCATCTGGTTCTTGGTGTGAATCATGCAATCAGGCTCGATTCATCGGAACTGTGGATTGCGATTTGCGAGCATGGCTGCACTGCACACAAGAATTTTCATTTTATTTCTTTTTTTTTTTTTTTCTTCAGCATTTTTTGAGTGGCCACACAAACACACAGAGGCTATGGATGGCTGGCGGAGGACGTGCCCAATCCGGAAGCGCCACGTGTCTGTGAGTTTATCTGCTTAAATAAATCGAAATTTGCTCACCAGACAACTGAATACTCCTTCACTTCGTAAATTTACGAAGATATTTCTATACTTTTCTTTTTTATATTCTTATTACAGAGATAATATGCAAACAAGGGAGATGGTAGGTCTTGTTACGGTACCATTTTATCGGGGTTTGTAATCGTTAGATAAACTGTCTCGACAAACTCCGACGGAATAGTTCCGTAATAAGATCGTAGCTTTTCCAACAAACATAACCACGCTACTAACAACAATAAGTGAACTTCAGTAATGGCCTAATGGGTAGATCTTTTTTTTTTCAACCGCCTAATGGGTAGATCGACTTCGCTTCATTTATTTATTTATTTATTTATTTATTAATAAATAGTCGATGTGATGTTCTCTTCTATATTTAAAAATTATTGTTTATGAATTTAAATTACATATTTTTCCAATGAAATGTAAAATAGTAGTGAGGTCAATACATAATAAAATTGTTAAATATATGCGTAGCATTGAAAATTTTGTCTAATTTATGAAAAAGTGAATTTTCTGATAATATATTTTAAATTTTGAGATAAATATATAGTGATGAAGAGAAACTATTAGAGCATCTCCAGTGTTGCGCTACTCTAGCGTATTACGCTAGAGTAAAGACAAAATTTCTCTTCAACGCTGCGCTACATCTCTGCATTACTCTAGAATTATGAATAGTATCGTGCTACATCTGATGCGGTACTATTCATTACTCTACAATTTTTATTTGTTTTTTTATTCTTTTATTATATGCAATTGATTTATCCTAAAATTCATTATTTGACAAAATTTTTACCATTAAATTTATAATTCAATTTGAGAATTATATAAATATATTATTATTAAAAAATATATTTTTTTATTGAATTACTATAAAATAAATCAAATATTATAGAAAAATAATAATTCTTTGTGGAATAATATTTCAAACAAGTGAAAGACCAACGAATATAATGATATATTTTATTTTACAAAATAATATTAAATAATATTTTGACATATTAAATAAATTAAAATAATATGAATAATATATGTGGAATAAAATGTAGCGCGAACGGTTTGAGACCAAATTTGATTTTTGGTTAACTCTGCTCTAGAGTAGAGTAAATCTGCACTAGAGTAGAGATAAGGACTGGAGACAACCTTATGCATTTTAAATTTGAGAATAACTTTGTTTGTTTGAAATGTGAAGATAAAATTCATTGGAAATGACAAACAATAAAATAGAGAAACTATATAAGTATTCAATAGAATAACTTTGTTTGTTCAACTTCTATATGTTTATATTATAACTTAAATACTTATATATCAACTTATTAATTTAAATATATCTATACTTATATAATAAGGTATCCTATTTACCAGATTTAGTAGGTTGAAAAGTCAACGTAATTAATGCA